ACCCAAGACGTGTGGAGCGCTAAAATGTCGGACCCATTTTTTCTGGGCCCATCTCAGAGGGAGGGGGCGGGCCAGTGCATCTAAACAGAATACAGCCATAACTGATTACTACAATGTAGGTGTACTGTATAAAAGTAAACCTTGTAATTTAAGGTCGCATGATGCTAAACAGGAAATGACAAAACAGGAAGTAACAAAACCATGCTTAATTTCAAACATTTTTTGAACCAAGATATCAGAGTTCTGTTTTGACCTCCAGTCAGTTTAACTAATTCCACATCCCATTTACATGACCAGGATCACACTGACCATGGTCAGAATGACCCTAGACATGATGAAATAACTTTTTCAGGCCTCTGAAAAGGTCACTGTAAATAGCTTTAAGTAGGAGCATAGGAAAGCTCAATGAACAGAATCTCTTGAATTTTTCAGAAAATGTGCCCAATATATTGCTCTAAATGATACAATCTAAAATTTTAGAAACTTGTCTGAGAAATGGCGGTCATTGAAAGGAAAAACGATCGCTTTTCAATTCAGTTTTTTCATTTTTTTTCTTTTTCAACGAATGATATCAAATTTCCCAAGATTGTATCACTGAGAGCAATATATTAGGCACATTTTCTGAAAAATGCAAGAGATTCTGTTCAGTGACCTTTCCTAAGCTCCTACTTTTATCTATTTTTCAGTCACAAATTTCAGAGGCCTGAAAAAGTAATTTCATCATGTCTATGGTCATTCTGACCATGGACTGGTCATTGTCATCGTGAGATATCACAACCTTCTCTCAGTTTCCTTCTACACCATTCTTGTGCATAACAGAGATGGTCTGAGTATCAGAATGGGTCGTTGTGCTGTGCTGTCCTTTGACACATCATTTAAAGCCCTGCCAACTCGAGGCGTGTTGTTAATCTTGCATGCTTTTCAAAGGAACGAAAGTCCGGCGAAAGCGGAGGTGAAACTGAATTTCGTTTCCTTGTTTCACTCCGTTGCATTGGTATATACATGTAACCTGGAATCCCAAACACCCGGATGTATTATGTACAAATTGTTCGCGGTTACGGATCTCTGTGCGTGGTATAAGAAATATGTTCGGAAACAAGGAAATGGTGGTGCGCGACATAAGATTTCACGTTCGCGATATGAGATTCGTGGTTCGAGTGCAAAGAACGTAGTTCGTGGTATCAGAACTGATGTTCGCGTTGTTGGAAGTCTAGGAGGCCTGAGATAGGCAGTTTTACTGATCTTGGGAAGAGAAGTCACAATTCGAACGCAAAAGAGTTTATTGATTTTGACAACGCTCAATTCGAACGCGATTTCAGCCCCAAAATATAGCGAACCAATAGGATGTCGTAAAACAGTATCTGTAGCCGGATTATGGAATCATGTTGACTCATGATCACTCACGAACCAAAGAATACACCACCAACAGTTTTATTGGCAGACGATATTCCGGAACTTCACGAGGTAGGTTTATTTGTGCGTTATTTTTCTGGTCCAAGTGAAATATGAAATCATATTTTACTTTATCAAGAAAAATAATATTGTACCGTCTTCTTTTAGTAAATCTGGTAAGAAGTAATTAAATGCCAACTGCAGGAAATTCTATTTCAAAAAATACATTCAAAAGTAAACTGTCGCCTTTTCGATTTTCCAACATTTAGGCACATGTTCAAGAAAACATTTTTGAAAAATTGCTATTCCTGCACATATTATTTTCTGGTAAAAATAAAGTATTGAGACATGGGTGTACGTCTTTGCATTTGTCTGGAAAGCATCCTTGTTATCTAGGGTTTCGTGGATTAGAAATGAATTCTTGTATGCAATCGAGTGTTGTTGAGAAACTGGACAAGACATTTGGAAAATTGAAAAGGCGGCCATTTTGCATGTTTTTATTTGTAATATTAGCAACTCTTGGTAGTTACCATTGACCTCTTAGCAATTTTACTAAAAGAAGATCTGTGTACAGTCTGTTACACCGCTTCAAAAGTAACCAGTTGACCCTAAACATTATGATTATGAAATAGATTTTTCAGCACAATGAAATTGTGACTGAAAAACTCGGTTATCTTATTTCAAAAAATTCTAAAGTCCACATGTTTTTTTAATTTCCTGTTTGGTTCAGCTGGAAAGTAACATTTTGGTAAAAATGGAATACCTGTCATGCACATGTTATTACACTCTACTTTTAGTAAACCTGAAAGCATGTCAATGGTACATGTAGCTCCTGTGTTGTCTGGAAACTTTGAAAGAAAATTTGGAAAAATAGAAAGTGTGAAATATCAGAATTTCCTGGAGTTCTCATTGAACTCCTTCCAGATATACGAAAAGAAGACAATGTAATGATACTTTCCTGAAAAAACAAGGAAATTGACACATGCCTTCATGCTTTATTTTGTACCAAAAAATAACATGTGCAGGTACAGTTGGGGACATAAATAAATGACAGGTGGATTTGCTGAAGTGAGGATTTCCCATGTTAAAAATAAGAGAATTTACAAGAGGCCATACATCAGTGGATGAGATTATACAAAATGTAAAATATACAAATTTTAAGGGATATATATCTAGACAATATTGGAAATTATGGGCTTTCAGACCACCATAATTAGGAAATGGTGATCGAAAATCGACCTGTCATTTATTTTTGTCCCCAACTGTATAGCAATTTTTTTACCAAAATGTTATTTTCCAGATGTACCTTAAACGTTAACTGAACAGAATATACAGTGTATGTCAATAAATTGCTCAAAATGAAAGGTGCTTTGCATTTTTTTATAAAATGGAGAAGAAACGAAAGAATTCAGTGACCTACCGTGTACGTTTTATTAGTACAAAATGTAGGTCACTGTATTTTGTCATTTTTCATACGTTCTATAAGAAAATATTCTTCACACCTTTCTATGTATTATGTAGTGTAGAAGTACACTCATTGTGAGAAATTGAAAGTTGAAGAGAATATGGGGAAGGAGGAATTTATATTTGAAAATAACCTGACACTCCAATGAGGATTGCATAAAAATTCCATACACACTATTTTTCACTCAGATTTTCAGAGGAGTGAAAACGCAATTTCGTCATGTTTATGGTCTGTCCATGCCCAATGTGACCCTGGTGATGTAAATATGTGGAACTAGTGAAACTGACTGAATGTCAAAACAGAACTGTGATCTTCGTTCAAATAAAAAAATCCAAAATCTTTTTACGTCTTACTCTTTTGTCACTTTCTTCAACTACCCTGAGACCTTAGTGTAAGGAGATTCAAAGGTCAAAGTGAAGTTACCATTTGGCTTAATGGTATTATCAGCTGTTGTGCAGTATAGTTGTACATGAATAAACTCAGATATCCTTTTCTAGGTTGCCATTGTGTAGAGTGCCTTCTGTAGAATATATAGCTGCTCCTGAAGTAATCGACATGCCTCCAGAATCTAAGACTCCTTCAAGATCTGCTGAAGTTGTGTTTGGTGCTGGGGCAAAGACCGCAGATGATGCGCATGCGCTGTTTACAGAAGTGTCACGGCCAAACCTCACACAAACAGACGTTGATGATATATATAAAGATTGGGCAACAACTTATGACAAGGTACATGTGCATGTATAAAGTTTCAACAGTTTTTATTCCTGTATAACAAATATTCTTTGTGAATAATAAAAGTATGACAACAGGAGCGTAGCTAGTCCAACAACATTAGACCTAGCCCGGGCCTCGTTTCTTATCTGACATGTGTTATGGCCCGGCTAGGTCTAACCTCCATGACCATTTTGCCTTGGATGCGTTAATTTAATCGTTCAGCAGGTTTCGACAAGCGGAACTAATTGAACCCTGAAAACATGGCAATATTACACAAAGAATGTGATTCAAGCATGCATACATACCTTATAAACACATACACCCCGTCCCGTATCCCCCTTAGACCCTATTGATGCATAATTACGAAAATATTGGAGACAGGTTTGGAATATGACGAAAATGTCGGTCAGTTTCGGTAACATCGAAATTGCAAATCGTTTCAGGAATTAACCGTCATCACGGCACTGCATTAACGAACAGTTGGTTTGCAATTAATAACTATTTTGCGTGTATATACGCGCTATATAAATTAATCAAAGACACCTGTTATCCTCAAAATTGATCTTTTTATCCCGAGTAATCGCGATAATAATTATCAATCTATTTGACAACAATTTCGTTTCGCTGGTAGTTTAATTTTACGATCCGGGACACTCAGACGAACAGACACAATGACGGACATGCGGAAGTGTCACTTTAAAGATTGGTAAGTGTAGCCTCATTTTACTCGTATAAATGAACATTTAACACAATAATATTGTGTTAAATCGCTTGATGTTATGTGTTTTTATATTATTGTCAAGTATCAGTTGCACGTTATCGCGGAAAAATGGTTTCGATGGATTCAGAACTTGCATCAAAGGAAAGAATAGTAAGGAGGTTAAACTCAATAATGGCCCCAAGAAAATTCCTAATAATAAAGAACGCCGTTATTGAGTTTAACGACGTTGAACTAGAGCGTAGCCGGCTTTCAGTTAGTGCGGGGGGTTTAAACATTTAGCTAGAAGCTTCAAATATAAAGCATTTTAAAGTTCTATCTAATAGAACCCGTACTACGCGTTCTATTTTTATAAGTTATGCGAGATGGGGTGCGTTCGCACACATCGCATCCCCTGGTTACGCCTATGAGCGTTCAGTGTATAAAAATGTTCGGAGTTCCATGTATCGATCCGTTTATTCTAATAAATTAATGTATTTAATATGACATCAATGCAATGGTTATGGTTTTAATCTTGCGAATCAATCAGTTTTAATTAGTTATTTATCCACAATGCTTACCATCCATTTATGAATATAGTTACATAAATCCTGAATTTCCTCAAGTCTGTACTTTTAAGCATCCTGTTGATTCCCAAGTTTGACATGTTCAAGGTAAAGTAGAAAAATACATATTACATTTTTTCTCAATTCAGGATCTTCTTCTCAACGGGTATAACAGCACAACACCATTGGCTGCTGCAAGAGTGTTGGCAGAATATATTGAAGACAAGAGTGCACCAGTCCTGGACCTTGCTGCTGGGACTGGTATTGTTGGAGGAGAGGTAAGAATTGTAATCTTCTTCCCAATAGTTATAACAGCGCAACACCACTTATTGCTGCAAGAGAGTTGGCAGAATACATTGAAGACAAGAGTGCACCAGTCCTGGACCTTGCTGCTGGGACTGGTATTGTTGGGGGAGAGGTAAGAACTAGAGCTATCTTACTAACTTAGCTGACGAACTATTCCTCTCTTGTTCTTTATGTCGACACCACAAGTCGTGAAATAATGATAGTCAATTTTTTGTGGACTGTGTTCGGCGGTTGTTGTTCGCCGGTGTAACCGGAGTAGAAGTCCCCGTGGAAAATAAGTCCGTAGGACGTGGATTTCCACGGACCTACGTTCCTAGGACCTATACGTTCCTAGGTGTCTTAGTCGGACATATATTCCAACCTATAATATATATGGAAAAACTACTACGGACGTATTTTCCTGACTGACTTGGATTCCTGCTACAGCAGTGACAGGAATTTAGGTCCATGAAACTCAATATTGATTATTTAATTAGTCTGTACATAAATATACAAAGAAAAACGTACTTGACCAGCCATCCATGATAGCTCACTAAGTAGATCGCTTGGTAGTAATCTAGTAAGAAGTAGATCCCTTGTTCGACTCCCCTTGGCTTCCTATTTCTTTTTTATATATTTTTTCATTTAATTTTATTTTGGAAAGCTCGGACTTATTTTAAGCTTTGACATTCACGCAACAACATTGATAACGTATAGTGACAAAATATACCGTCGTGCACTTTAGATGTACGATGTCACTATTAACTGATTTGAAGCAAAACTACAATTTCTAAAATCTAAAATAATTGATGTACTCATCTAAAAGGTGGAAATAAAGAAGCATAAACATAAAACTACACAATTTAGGATGGTCGAGGACTTCATAAATATTATGTATTGGTTATATTAAAAAAATCTGAAATGTTCGTTGTCAATTCCACTGTACGGTGTCCGTGTAATTGAAATTCATGAGATGTAAATTAAACAATGCAATAATTTTATTGTCCAATCGAAGTTCGGAGGGATATAGGGAACGCCTCCGTCCTTTCATCCATCATTCCATCCATCCTTCCGTCCATCAGGTTTTGCTTCAAATCAGTTAATAGTGACACCGTACATCTAAAGTGCAATAACTCAAATACCGTTGGTCCAATTTTGTTGGCATTTTGTACACATAAACCCTATGGGGGTAGAAATTCTGCTCGAAAGCCAATTTTGAAAATGGCCGCTAATTTAAAATGGCGGCCATTTTAATGCCGATTTTACAGTAATTTAGGTTCAACATGTAAAACTGTAATAGCAGTATGTTTTAGATTTTAAAAAATATATAGGATATTAATAAAGGTAGAAATGTAGATATCGAAGAAGCACATTGCAGCCGTCTTGAAAAATGGCGGCCTTTACACGCTATTTTATGATTGTTGCTGTAACTTGAAAAGTAGTGGAGCGATTTTTTTTTCATATTTGGTATGTGAATACTACAGTGCGTATCAAAAAAACGCAACGGATTGTTATCTTGGAAAAGCACAAAACCAGTGATAACGGCATCGATTTCATTCAATGCACCATAACGCCATGTGTCTCTTCTTTACAATGATATATCATTCATCGATATTTTGTCATGGTTGGGTGAGTAATCATTCCATTTACAAAGTGGGCCAAAATTAGATTCGGGCCAAGTTATAAACATTGCAAAAGTCGGTGTACGGAGCCCGATGCAATATTGGACGAAAACATAAAACCAATGTTGACTGCATCCTTTTAATTCAATGTACCAAAAAGCCAAATTACTCCTCTTTGCAATGGAATATCATTCATTCACAGGGAGTCATCTCTGGCCGAATAATCATTAATTTTACAAAGTGGAGCAAAATTCAGCTCGGACTCGAGTTTAAAACATTGCAAAAGTCAGTACAAGGGGCATAGGGGCTATTGGAAGAAGGTGTGACCGGTATGGCATAGGCAGTAAAGTGTTCATACTCATACTCTTGCAAGAATACATCCTATACCCCTCCAAATTGCCACCACATCCTTGCACATAAAGATGCGCTCATCTGTCTACGTCATGCATGGTTAAGCCCTGAATCATGTGTGGGTTAAAGCAAAGAAAAGCAGCCCGTGGGCATATATTTCTCGAGGTTTTGCAATATCTGGTGAAAGAATTGTGAGCACAGATGCTCCTGAGTTAGCTCCAAAAGAAAGAGTTACAACAATTCAAGTCAGGGGAACTTCCATTGGCACTTAGCCCTTGCACTGATTTTTTTCAATATCTAAAACTTGACGCAGAGCCGATTTTGACCCACTGTGCAAACGGAAGGATTTCTCACCCAACCATTACCACATGCGAATGAATGACATATCATTACAAAGAAGAGAGACCTGGCTTTATGGTGCATTAAATGAAATTGATGTAGTCATCACTAGTTTTGTGATTTTACGAGATAACTACTTGTTGCGTTTTTTTTGATACGCCCTGTATAAGCATGGTACATTGTCTAAAGACAATTTTTGGTAGAAAGCGGCCATTTTGAAAAAGGCCGCCATTTTAATGTGTTTTACTCTAACTTGAAAAGTAGTGGAGTAATTTTTTCATATTTGAAAATGGCCACTAGATTTACGTGTGTTATTTTACCCTTTTCGCTATAACTCAAAAAATAATAGGGCGATTTTGTTCATATAATTTAATACGTGAATACTCATAAGCGTAGCACACTGTCTTATGACATTTTGACAAGTAGATGGCCATTTTTCAAAATGGCTGCCATTGACGTGTGCGAAGGGTGATCATGAATTTTTGGACCGTTGGCGTTATTATCTATTTTTGCAATTTATATCCTTTTCTAGTGATTTTTCACCCAACATGACTCAAAATAGGAACACACCATGAAGATTTCATTGTTCTATGTCATCTTTATCCTATTATTTTTGTTACCATGGTAACCGGTGCCTTTTCAAAATTGATGGAAAAATAGTGACATTTACTTTGGTGTTACTTGGTCTGATCCAATATATTTGGCTCATATTGTGTGAAAAAATCAATAAGAAAGGAAAAGAAATGGAAAAATAGAGGCAATGGTCCAGAAATTCCTGATCACCCCTCGTACGTGTGTGAAATTTTGTTGAAAGTTTATATGTGCCTTCTTAAAAGCATATCACACTTTCTGATGATAATTTGGCTATAATGAGTAACCATGCTGAAAATGGTGGCCATTTTTGTGTGTTATTTTACGATTGGCTTTGCTACGCTTTGGCGTTGCTGTTGTCTAGTTTCAAATCCATTTAGGTTTTTAATCAGTAACAAGTGATGTTCAACGAACATGTGCAAGTATCCCCAATACAGGTGTTGTTGAAGATAAGGTAAATGTTATTTTTGACCTCTTGTTGAATGCTATTTTATTTAATGAAATTGTTGGTGCGGTGGTCAAAATGTGACCAATGGGTCTTAGATTCAACATCTTGATCATTTGGCGTTTGTACGTTTTGCGTTCTGTTAAGATTATAATTTAATGGATTTTAATAATTTTATGAAGTTGATAGAGAGATCGCAATACTAGCTACAGCTAGTCGAAGGTGACTTTTAAAATCCTGTTTATGCGTTTGTATATCTGGAAAGTGCTAAGTCCAATAGTGCAATCAGTGTTATAAAAATACGTTGTCTGCAATAGGGTTAACTGTGAATTGAGAAGTTCAATGTAAGTTCAATGGGACAACGAACATTGAATTGACAATGTACACTTGTGATTTTTTTAGATTGTAGCCAAAAACGTAAATACTTGTTAAATCTTCAACCGACCTAAATTGTGTAGTTTAGAAAAATATATTCTCATAAAAGTAATCGACACTCTTGGGCTTGGGCATGAATTTGACTGAAATATATGTAACGCCCCAAACACAATAGATTGTTCCGATAAATCCTGCCACCTTTTGATACATCAGAGAAACTTTGATATAATGTCTAGCTTGATGTTAAACTAGCTAGGTTATATTTTTCAAAATTAGCAGTATGTTAATCGGTATGTTTTTGCATGGTCAGATTTTAACCTACAACCAATGACATCATCAATTTATGCCTGACACACATTTGTTCCGATTCATCGGTCGGTGTAAAAGGGAAGATGGTCCTATCAAATTTTGGTCCTACTCTCTATTGATTTATATGATGACCTAATTACAATTATTTTCCTTATTATTTATACACAGTCGGGGCCAGTAAGGGTCGTAAGGAAAGGGGACCATAATTCCCAGCAGGGGATGGGATCATAATTTTTTCTTTTACACCGGCAAACGGCCGATTGAGTATTTTGTTCAAAACTGAAAAACTTATTAACAATTTTTTCCATTGAGCTCCATAACAAAAGTTGAATTTTACTTTTTATTTCGAAATTCTACGAGGTGAATATTACGTAATGAGTGTTTTTGAATGTATGGTGTTTAGGATTCAAAAGAACATGTCTTTAACATTATGTTTTTTAGTTGAAGAGGTTGGGGTTCACTCACATAGACGCCTTGGATGCCAGTCAAGCAATGTTGGACAAGGCCGTAGAGAAAAATGTCTATAAGAGGCTAATATGTGACTACATGGGACCAAACGTATTGGATATCAAAGACGGTATATTAGCAACAGAAGAACATATTCAAACATCAGTACATTTTCCACGTGTTATTTGAGAGAAAATATAAGAAAAGGAAATAAAATTTGAAAATTAGAATTTTTCTAGCACTTCTTGCATCTGAATCTCAGAATTGTTTTGATTGATGAAAATTTTCTCTCATTAGACAGTTTTCTGCCGACACAGTCGTTTCATGTCACCACTATTGCAGATCTATTTTTAGATACGTATGGGGGTGCTGTAGCAACTGGTTGTTTTGTAACTGGCCATGCCAGACAGGACTGCTTCTTAGAAATCATAAGAGTCCTTAAGCCAGGTAAGAAAATATTAAATATGATATACTGTATTACGTATTGACGTATGTATTTGACCCACCACGTCATGCATATTTTATTTTAGAGGAGTCTTGGCCCTAATTCATGTAATTAGATCATAGTTTAGTAACCTAGTCCATGTACCTCTAATGAAGGAGCTGGTAGCACACGCTAGTGAAGCGATATTTGATCTAATGTACAGGGTGTCAAAAAACAACGGCACCCCCCTCTACAGCAAAAAGTACTTAATATTAAATGGTGTGTCATATCTCATTTTAAAGACAATTTAATTCTGGAGTTACATGAGAAATTTCAGCTTTATATCATATAATTTTACAGATTTACAGCGGATTCTTAGTAGTTGGTATGACCACCAGTTGCTGCTCAAACAGCAGCTTATCTGGACAGATATGATTTCAATGAAAATTCAGATAAAGGTGTAGCATTGCATAATACTTTAAGCACTTTCCTCAAATTCTTCAGAAATACATCCCCACTGTATCTTTTTTCAAGAGGCTCTTCGTCCATCAGTTCCTATACCCTGTTTATTCAGAACTGAACCCATATGTTCAGTGCAGTTGAAATCTGAGCTAATTCTTTCATATTCCACTTTCTGAAGATTTGGCCTTTAACCAGTAACAGAGCAGCAAATAAAGTACCAAAGTAGCAAACTTAAAAACAATGTAGCTTTTTTAATATAAAGTTTTATTAAATGAAATTTGAGGAGTAACTCCAGAATCAAATTATCTTTCAAATGATGTATGACACAATATGGAACATTCAGGACTTTTTGCTGTAGAGGGGGGTGACGTTGTTTTTTGACACCCTGTATATACCTACATATGCCCGCAATTATTTTCATTATGGCCGACCAATGCAATACGGCTTATGGGCCGACTTATGTCTGCCATCAACAGTGGTAAAAAAATGAAATAAAAACTAAAGTCCATTGTTAAAACGTAAGGTCATCAAATCCTATAATAATGGAGAGATGTGAAAATGTAACATCACCTCGGTGGGAATCGAACCCACGACCCCAGGATTGAATCAAAGTTCTCTACCACTCGAACCGAAGAGCAATTGTGTTTATAATTATGTCGATTCTTAAAAGGCTACTGTTGAAATTTAAAACTCAAAATGTGTTTTAATCCTTTTAAGGTGGCGTACTGATTATCCAGCTAAACAAGGCTGGTCTGGCTAAACCCTATTTGGCTGGGTTTGAGGACACCTTAAAAGCTCACGAAGATGACAAATTATGGACATTGCTGAAAAAAGAATTTATTCCTTATGTACTAGGAAACAACGATGGTTTGAGATACGTTTACAAAAAAAATTAGATGAGAATTCTCTACGGCCTAGACAATTTGAATCAAATTTGAACTCTGTTATCAAAAGCATATATTTATAATTGAAACATTTAAAACCACGTTGCAAAAGCAGACAACACAACTGTTAGTTTTAGTAACCAATTTGATTCAATGAATTGGATCATGGAAAACGTTGAATGGAACTCAATGTTACAAAACATACATATAATAGTATAATATATGTATTATATAATATAATTTAAACATATAAAACATATGTTAGAAATGTAGACAACAGAACTGTAAGTTATAGTAATCGAGGAGGTTACAATAAATTAGATACGAAATAAATTAGATAAAGTCTGTGAAAGTACTCTACCAATGATGGCCTGTGACGTCTATTAAAACATTCCCCGATGCAGGGAAATCGTGATTTTTAGTCCATGATGGCACAAAAATTAGAATGATCCGAAAAGTATCTCACAGAAATGACAAGGGGATGAAAAGGAGCGACACGTTTTGCAAACTCATCAACGTAATTTTTCCGGTGTAAAAGGATAGGTGGTCCTATCAAATTTTGGTCCTACTCTCTATTGATTTATATGGTGACCTAATTACAATTATTTTCCTTATTATTTATACACAGTCAGGGCCAGTAAGGGCCGTAAGGAAAGGGGACCATAATCCCCAGGGGACCATAATTTTTTTTACACCGTGTTTGGCATTTTTCCGTGCTGTAAAAATAAAATTTGTGTTTTTCGTCAATTTTTCCGGGTTTTTAAATGTGTCGCTAGGTAAAATTCCGGGTTACCCGGATAAAATTCCGTGCAGTGACAAGTATTTCATTCTTTACTAGAGAATTCTCATGTAGAGAGAGGTTTAGCTAAAACGTATCCGCATCCGTATCTAGTTACGTTTACGGATACGGCATTCTATGATTTTGAAGTTCGTAATTATTAAAACGCATCTTAATTTGTGACTATTAGGGGTGCAAACTAGGTAATGGATAAACCAGGAGTCTTGGGGATGATAATCAATTCGAAATCAACCCGATTTCGGTCTTTAAAGACACTCTATTGAGACTTCTCTGTGGCATTTTTTCTTTATTCCTTTTTTTTGAATTTTTAACACCATAACATTAACTAACTACTCAATATGCAACTTTTCACCACGTAGAATTTTAAAATATTAAGTTTGAAAATTCCATTTTTATAATGGAGCTCAATGGGAAAAACGACACAATTTGAATTATTTTCAAACGTAGCGGCGCGATTTTCTTGAAATTGACAGATATAATAAATATTTGTAAGGCGAAATGTTTGAAGAAAAATTAAGAAAATTCACCATCCTGGTTACGCAAAATATAGAAAAATGTGATATAATCATATAAACCTGTAAAAATAGATTGAAGGGGGTGATATTCATTTTTAATGTGCCTCTCACTACTACAGGGTAACCATAGTTTTGGTAATGGTTTACTAATTTTAAAAGCATATCTTCCAGCATGTGTATCAAGCACAAGTAATACAATAAGTGAGTTATCATTAATTGGAATGGTATTATTGTATTCCTCAGCAATGACTACAAAAAGGTAAAATCGATCATATCACATTCTAGTTCTTACCATCAGATCGATCGATTATAATGCATTTTAATTTTTAAACTATATGGCAATAGATCGTCAAATTCAAGAATTGAGCTAAATTGTAAGATAATAAATAAATTGCTAATCCCTTATAACTGTATAATCCCCTTATTTTAGCTGCTGCAGTTTAGGTCACTTGATATGAGATATTCAGTAACATGCTAAATAATCACTCGTAATAAGCAATATGAATTCTTCAACACAATCATGAATTTAGTGATCTGACCCTTAAAATACTTTTCAGGGGGAATAGTTTGTCCACCTGTAGACGTGTAGCATCTTTTTCTAGCCATATTTTCCTAGGCCTGCTGGAATACCTATTTCAGTGTGCAAGTTTAGCATTGTTTTCCCATTGATCATTTGAGTTCTCACGTCAATATTATGTGGAAATAATAAGATGTCAAAAAGAGTAGTTTACTTTATTGTAAGAAATCAAAAATAAAATAAGGTTTGGGCAGGAAGGGAACAGATGAAATCCTTGGGATACATGAATTAATCAATTATACGAAACATTCATGTTTCTACAATTTGGGGTAACCCTGGGTTTTATTCTACTGAGACTGGTTATACCGGTGCAAAATATTACAAAATATTATTTACTTATTATCATAATTCAATGTGACAATATCGGTCTTATCTTCAAATGATCCGTTACCTAATGTACCTGAAGGTGCCCCCAAAGGTTTCATTGAAAATAATATGAAAATAGTTACTTTTATCAATTATGAACACATCAAAACTGAAATTAGGTCATTTGGATTAAAACTAAGGTCATTTAGTGCATTTAAGTTTGACTTTGCAAATCATTCTAAATATCATTTTAAGGGTATGTTAGTCTTCATTCATGATCATTTTAACTATGTTGACCATTCCTCAATCGATATAGCAGAACATTGTTGAGGTAGAACACAAAGAACAACATATTGAAAACACATATCATAAAAAACGAAAACTTAATATATCTTTTGAAAAAATGAACCTTAATAAATGTGTTCTCAACAATAGTACCATGATCACCTCAGTTGTTTAATAACAATAGGTATTCAACCTAGAGGGTATATTAATATATCATTAAGGTGGGACACAAAGGGCAACATACTGAAAACACAAATCATAAAATAATCTATCATTTGATAAAACGAACCTTGTTAAATGTGTTCTGAACAATAGTACCATGATCACCCTTATTGTATATACTGTACATTTAACCTAGGTATTCAACCTAGATACTATGTCAAAATATCATTAAAGATAAGGTAGAATACAAAGAGCAACAGTTGAAAATACAAAACCTAAATTCAAGCTGAATCTAGTTAAGACTTAGATAGATGACATAATAGTATTAGTTTATTTCACATGAACACTTAAAGATATGCTATACAGATAAGTAGGTCAGTATTACATAATCATGAAATGAATAAGTCTGAAAATACAATTGGTCAGAATGTACTAAAACCTGCTTGAAACTGAAAAACATTGCATGCTCTATTCCACACAATTTGGAGGCTTTTGAAATTCGCAGTAACAATGAATAAGTGCCTGTATATAATCATTGCATAAAAATCACTTCATGTAGTGTTTATCAGATGTATTGAGTTGACCAAAATACTCCTTTGTTTACTATATACTGGACTACATACTGGCACCCTTACATATATGTTACAGTATACAATTGTTGACCTCTCCAGAGGTCAACCGGCAAAATTGTATACCGAGACTGTAAACGGAGAAGCTACTGTTGACAGAGACCGAAGGTCGAGGTCAACAGTGTTTCAAGGTTTACAGTCGAGGTATATGATTTTGACGGTTAACCGAATGGAGAGGTCTACAATTGTTTTGTTAGTCAGAAGAAACTAATAATACTCATATATACGACAGTCATCAATCATGGCTTCATTTCACAATCTTTTCTATGAACCACGCCAGCAATAATTTTTAAGAAAATCTGAAGACAGTGGAAGCTAAACTCTCTGTTTTCGGCACATAACTGCGTACTCACCAGAAAATTAATGTTAATTTTGCGTTTCTATTTGTATTGTTGCTATACTCGTCGTTTAGAAAAGTCAAAATATCACTTTCATCAACGTGTACAAAATGTCCGACTACCATGTTTTTTTCTGTAAACATTGTGACGTCATATTTCCCATAATTCACAAGTGTAGTACAGTAACATACGCGGTCAATAATATGATATCCCATGATGCACAAGTGAGGTACAGGCAAAAATGTTGACCGCTAATTGACCAATCAGATGCGAGTATTTACACTGAGGTACTAACAAATTGTAGAATTAGTCCATAAGAGCTTTGCAAAATCAACATCTTATACAATCTACGTAAAAGACGGCTTGCCCAACCTTACAGGCAAACTATTATAGACAAATTTGAAGATAAGACTGATATTGTCACATTGAATTATGATAATAAGTAAATAATATTTTTGTAATATATTCTGCACCGGTATCACCAGTCCCAGTAGAATAAAACACAGGGTTACCCTAAATTGTAGAAACATGAATATGTTTCGTATAATTAATCAATTCATGTATCCCAAGGATTTCACCTGTTCCCTTCCTGCCCAAACCTTATTTCATTTTTGATTTCTTAAAATAAAGTCTACAGGTGGACAAACTATTCCCCCTGAAAAGTATTTTAAGGGTCAGATCACTAAATTCATGATTGTGTTGAAAAGCTGTTGAAAATGATTGTGTTGTATGTATGTATGTATGTATGTATGTATTCTTTATTTGCGTCTATTCATTTAGACAGTTACATGGTATACAATGATATAAGGTAAAAGAAAAGAGTAATATAAAAGTTACAGGTACAAAAAGTTAAAATGCCTTAACATAGTCTCCCTGGCTTTATGCATAGAGTGAATGTTAATCGAAACAGAACAGAGAGAATCCAGGCTCTCCGGGCCCAAACTCAAATGATTTATACCAAAAATGAAGCTCAACTTTTCATTAATTGTATGGCACTCTCCACTTTCTAAAAGCATGGTAAGTGTATGTCGCTCATGAGAAAGTGCGTCACAACGCAATAAGAAATGTTCCAAGGTGTCATTTTCTTTGCTGCACAGAGGGCATAAAGCACTAATATTAAATGGGTAGCAACGTGTTTGCAGTTTGAACATTCGGATACATTGTTTGTTGAGAATATGTCTTCTTACTAATATTCCACCATAAAATTGGCTGCATAAATGACCTGACAGTAGGTACAAACATAGTTAAAGAATCATACAATGAGCACATCGTGATAACACTATGGGCTTCGTTGCACCTTATTATACCACTCACAAGACGTTTAAAGGCTGATTTGCAGAGAAATTCCCCAGACTCTATCATCTTGAACACCATATTGTTCAAATTGTAGCGTTCTAAGGTTTCCCACCTGATTGAAAGTGGGAAATTGTGCCGCCCATTCCCCCTATAAGCCTCAACAGTCGATGAATCAGAACAGTTTTGTATATATTGTTCATCGGTAATATTACAATGCTCCAGAAGAACATCAGCCTGGTAAAATCCATCTGTCTTTTTATAGAGAGCCAGCCAAGACCTGCGATAGCAATGGGGTTCGGAGAACTTTTCGAGAGTGCCTGTATCCTCTTTCCGATTTCTCTATGTGAAATTTCCATTTGCTCGGTTTCACAATGGGTGTAGTCTATCACTTGGCATCCGTATAGCAGTTTGCTCATAGAAAAAGACCAATACAGCTTACTTGCCATTAATGGGCATAAACCCCCAGTAAGAGGGCCTAGTCCTAGTAGTGAGAAAAATTTCCGTTTGGATTTGCACACAGTTTGTTTCACAAAATCATTGTGCCTTTCGAGGGGTATTCCTACATGCATCTCCCCTGCTTTTTGTTGGATCACATTGGGCCCTAGTTTACACCCTATGCAGACAGAGCCTGTGGGAAATATTGGGTGCGGAGCAAATGAGCGGAGGGTGCGGAGCTAACGGTCATTTTTTAATTTAAATTTGGGATATTTCTGAAACTAAGCCGTTTTGGGACTTCAAATATACCAAGATATGTGTATTTGACACCAAATATCAATACAATTGTAAAAATAGTAGCGCAATTCATTCTATAGCGACGCAGTGTGCCTTAAACCTTTCCCAGACCTATATATTTTGAGATTATCCTTTTAATACTGAGTCCCCAGCATTCATAAAAAATGGTGTTCAAGGTACACTATCTATACAAATTATTTTTGCATCTTGGAAGCCAGGCAGTATCTG